TGTTCTCTCATTGGTAGTGGGGTTTGCAATGATTGCTGAGAATTCTGTTACCAGACTATGAAAACTACATAAAACAGCTTTATGACTCCTAAGGAAACTAAGTTACTAAATGTAGGAGCTCTGTTGTGTTGCCTAGATTTAAAGCACCCACTCTGTCAATTTCCTTAAAATTAACTCTACTTTTACAGTTTTATTCTGAGCACTATCCTAAATTTATTAAAAAAAAAACAAAAACAACCCACAACAAACCAACCCTCATATTCCTGGATGACATGCAGACTATAAGCAATAAAAATATCCACATCAAATGTAAGTGATTTCTTAAGTAATTTGAAAAAAGTATTTTAAAAATTCCTATAAGATTTTAACTGTTAGAATAAGAAGGCGACCTGAACAGAATTTAATTTTGTTAATATTGAAACAGGTTTCTGGACTGAGCGCACTCATAGAAACAATGTAATAATAAGATAATGTGAACACCACTCCAGTTGTCATCACACTGCTCCAGTTATCCAACACTGTACACCGTCTGTGGAGAGCCTGTGGTGGAGGTGCCTAAGCTCACCTTCACAAAATAGTCAAACAGGGGCCTGTATTTCTTGCCTTTGAGACAGGCACCAGGAAATCTAGAAAAAGGAGAAAGGCAAACTCACAATTAGATTTAAATTGTCAAGGAAATGAGGCTGCAGCCACATCAAGTCACCACTCCCTTCTGGTTTATTTGTTCCTTAGTCATTAGTGCTGGAACATGTTACCTGAATGTACTAGTACTTAAAACTTAAACAGGTACTTAAGTACTTCATATTTAAAATGGTGTTAGTACTTAAAACTAAACTTGAGTAATATATCTTTTGGGTTATAAAGTGTGTTACTTTTTAAAACTAAAGACATACACACTCACAAATCGATGATTTGTATATTTACCTTTCAAGGATCTCATAGTCACTCTCCAATTTATAGAGGGCTGGTAATCGGGCTTCCATTAAAATCAGTAATTTTCCTCTGATAATGTCTGTAAGAGCAATGGAAAAAGTGGACTTCAGTAATATTTAGACTTTGGCTTATTCTACATTAGACATGCATCAGTATACTTTTTCCTTTGGGTGCTCCGGTATCACCTGCATCCAGTGTGCCTAGCACTCACAGAGAAATACTGAAAAGAATGCTAGGACACACAGCTTTCTAGACGAAATTGACCAAAAAAAAAGAAGAAATCAAAGGCTATTAGGCTATCAGTTGTTGTTAATTGCATCTCTATCCATTTTAAGTAAATTAATCTTAATTTTCTTCTAGCAAATGTAATATATATAAATATTTCAAAGTCATATTAACAAACAAAAACGTTTACAAATAAAAGTCCCCTGTAATCTCATCTACCCTCAGGCACTATCATCTGAGTGGCTATTCTTCCAGGTAGTTTTCTATGTATAATAACAGTAACATACATATTATGTGAATGGGCAATTAAAAAAAATAATTGTGAGACATAACAATATAGTTATTTATTTTCACATAATATATCGTGAACATCTTTTACTATATTAGCACATAAATATCTTTCTCATTCTTTTAGATACTTCTACAGTCCTCCATTCTAACGGAAGTACAAGTTATTTTTCACATACCAACTAATCCTACACATTTAAGTTGTTTTCAAATTATTACTACTATGAACATTGGGATGAGTATCCTTGTATGTATCTTTGTACACTTACTGGAAATTCTTCTGATGGCTACTACCTCAGGAAGAAAAAAGCTGGAACAAATGTATAAACATTTAAAATTTAATAGATATTAATAAATTGCCTTACAAAAACTTAGACTAATTTAATTTAAACTCCCACCTATAAAGTATGATATACTCAAGATTTTACTAGTGCCTCTGACATACATTCAGTTCACTATAAGAAAAATGAGAATCTATGAATCATTGCGAAGGCTTCTGCAATTCACTGAAAAACTGCCATAAATAAGTCTGCCAACAACCAACTCTGACCTCCCAAGAACTTCATTATAAGTGGAGTCTACATTTTCTGAATAAAACCCAGGAAGTACAAAAGGAATATATAGGTAGGGGAGCCACATGATTGAAATCTCAGCCAGAAGGCCTCTAAAGCTGTCAGGCTCACTACAGATTGGCCATTTCTCATTGGTGATACAGGGAACTTATGCAGACAGAAATGAAACTGCCCAGAGAAGCAGCTACAGACACCAGAGCGAGGTTCTGTGTGTATAACAGCTCTTTTCCAGCAGATAGTGTAAGAAACCAATTCTTGGTCCTATCCATTCCCAAGGCACAGTTAAAAAATAATAAAAATACCTGTTTTCTGACTCCCAATTCTCTACCATTCCTTTCTCAATATTTATCTCTTGCCAGCAAAAGCTTTTGAGGATCCAAGTGACTGTCATGTAAGGCAGAATTTTTTTCCTGGCTATGAGTTTCTCTTTTATTTCCCTGGCTTCCCTCTTCCTCCACAAACTATCAAAACCTGAAGGTATCAATCTTCTTTTTTCATTTAAGTCTCTTTAGAAAGCACCTCATTAAGACTATGGTTAACTCTCCGCCAGGGAATATTTGAAAGGCAAAGTCAAGTTCTGGTACCTATTCTGTGATATTAGAATTTATAATAAATATATATTTGGTCTTAATCTCTGTTCCTGGCAGAGCTCCTAAAACCCTTAGAACTTCCTAAGTAATGAGAGCCATGTAGCTCACCCCTGTTCCATGGAGACAGAAGTTCCTGTACCCAAGACCCTTCCAGACCTCGCCTTATGAACTTCTTCATCTGGCTGCTTATGTGTATCCTTTATAATATCCTTTTATAATTAACTGGTAAGCCAATAAGTACAATGTTTCTGAGTTCTGTGAGCCCTTAAGCAAATCAAGAGAACCTGAGGAGGAGATTGTTGGTTAGTGAGAAGTATAGGTGTCAACTTGGACTTGTGACTGGAGTCTTAAGTGGCGGTGTGGTGCTGGAGAGAGGTCTTGTAAGATGGAGCCCCTAACCTGTGGGATCTGATGCTAACTCTAGTATCTGAATTAAGTAAACTGCTTGGTGGTATTGAAAAAAGAGACATCAGAGATTCTTAATACCGACAAGATGCCACCTCTCTAAATCTCTGGTTCTTCATCTATAATAGGGACATGATGTGCAAAAGTGTATTAAAATCTAAAAATTATAAAGAATTCTTACTTTTTATATCTGTGTACTATTTTAATTTTTGTGTATTACATTTTCAATCTGTTAAAGAGAAAACCACAGGCCAAAAATGGGATCACTTATGCTAAAAGTCTATGATAACAAACGTAAATTTATTACCTGACCTAATTGCTGTTTCCATCTCTCTCAGAAACATTCTTTATCAACTAGTCTGGAATGTTCTGGTCAACACCAAGGAGGTAATCTGTCATATGGGCTCTCTCCATCTCTTCCACCCCCATAGAAAGAAGAGTCAACATACATGATAAAAAACTCTTGCTATTCACCTCCTACCCCCTAAAAAATGTCCTGGTCTAAAAATAATCCTTTTTTTTTTCTTTCTCTAATAGCTCCCTTGCTCCACCCTTCTTCCTAGAAAAACCTTCCACTTTGGACAACTCGTAGGAGCACCCTTCTAGTTGTTAGACAGAATGCTGCCCACTTAATAAAGCCAATCAGACCTTCAAATTTACTTGGCTAAATTTTATTCTTTAACAGGTTAGAAATGAAAACAAAACAAAACAAAACTTTGAGGTTATTTTTCTGATTAAGTCTAATGCTTTTTCAAAAAATTCTATTTGTACTCCAAAAAAGAAATATCAATTTCATCCTTTCCCAAAAAATGTCAAAATTACCTTATCCACATCAGTCATAAGTAACCAGGCTCACACTTACCTTTAATCTTCACATACTGCATATCTGGATTAACACACAGGGCAAGGTTACTAGGCAAAGTCCAGGGAGTAGTTGTCCAAGCAACTAAAGATATATTTTCATCTTCTTCCAAAGGGAAAGTTACAAATATTGAAGGATCTTGAACATCCTGAAATAAATGAGATAAAGTATTCTTTTACAAAATCCACAAAAACAGACATAGAAGAAAAAGGAACTAATCCTAAAGAATAAAAATAAATTGACTTTCAGAATAAACCGAGCTTTTAAAACACCATTTGCTCTATTTATAAAAATAAAATATAAAGCAAGAAATTCCAAGTATTTTTTAATATTTTAAAATTTTAACAATTACCTCAGTACAATTATGCACTACATAACAATGTTTTGGTCAATGGACTGCAGGTATGATGGTGATACCATAAGATTATAATGGAACTGAAAAATTCCTATTGGCTAGTGATGTCACAGCCTTCCTAAGGTTGTAAGGCAATACTTTACCCAAGTACTTAGCATTGTTACAACTGCCAACAGTATTCAATACAGTATTCAATATATGCTGTATAGGTTTGTAGCAGAGGAACTATAAGAGAACAGAATTTGTCATCCCCAAATGTGATTATTTTAGGCTGATTTTTAAGAAACAGCAGATATGGGAGAAGCTCTGAAACCAAGTAGAAATTATCCTTTGTAAAAGACATTTCCATTTGTAAGGAAAATTTCCATTCGTAAGGGTGTCTCCCCTCCCTGTACCACCAGGCAGAGAAAGACTATCTCTAGAAACTTCTATCGATGAAGAAGACCACTATGTAAATCTACGCAGCAACCTTACTTTTGTTTATTGTGCTTTTCCTGGTAACCTCCCATAACTGATCCCTATCACCCCAACATCTTTTGTCTTCAGCTGAAGATGGTATGTAAGGTGATGGCTTCAGCTGTTTTGGCAGCTTACTCATTTTCCTGGGTCTCTCCCATGTATATAGGAGGTATACGTGTTATTAACTTAATTTTGTTTTTCTACTGTTAATCTGTCTTTTATAACAGGGATGTCTCAACCAAGAATCCAGAAGGGTAGAGGGAAATTATTTTTCTTCTTGTACAGAACAATAGGCTATACCATACAACCTAGGTAGTAGTAGGTTTATGTAAGCGCACTGCAATGTTCACACAAGGACAAGTTTGCCTAAAAGATCCTTAAGAGAAGCATGACTGTAGTCACAAACAAAACATTTTAATTGTATCAAGAGGGATATATAATGGAGGTTTTGTAACCACATGTAGATTTCATTTCTTTAAGATAGTCTTTTCTCTGATTCAAGCAGGCTTAGCCTGCTATAATGGCATTGTGACTCGCTTGCCTTTTCCACCCTTACACTTCCACCTTTTTATGCCTCCTCCCTTAATCACTGAGCCTTAGGACATAAGGTTTCAGCCAGTTGCAAATCTTTTAAGAATGAAGCTTCAAGTCAATGGATCATGAAACCATAAGTTTCGGTTAAACTAAGGATAACATCTTGGCTTTAGGTATGTTTTAGATCTAGACCATCTAGAAGGAACAGACCCACAGACCATGGGACCAGATGGGATGACACCATAGCTGATTCTAGAACCATGATGGGCATGATAATCAATTACCCACAACCCCACCTACCTTAGTTTCAATTTTTCCCCTATGTAATCTATTTCCTTGAGGCACCCGCAGAGTCAGTTCTTTGAGAGCCACAGCTTGCCTGTGTCTCCAAGACTCGCAGCTCTCTAATATAAATGCTTAATTTCTTTGCTGCAAAACTTGTACATATCTCACTAACTTAGATGCAAGCAAACAGGGGGACCCTTTTGCTCCAGTAACAGTTTCACTATTACAATAATCTATTTTATAATAAGTTCATAAAGAGGTAGATCAACAAAATAACTATTTTGGAAAATAGTTATTCTTTATTCCAAAATCTAAAAATGAGTCATTTTGAAATATCATATACTTGAAAAATTGTAATATGCCCAAATTGTAACAGAGTGAAAGGCTAATTTCAGCTTCTCTGACTCCATCTTGTTCAAGGCTTTGCTTCCATGGCCTTCAGGTTAATAGCTTGTGCTTAGTCTTGCATATAGACATGCTAATCATTAGAGGAATTCTGCTTGCCACTTGAGTTTTATAGCCTCTTTACCAGAAATTGCCTCTCCCAAGGAGATAAGGAAAGTATGTACAAAAATAATGATTGCTTACCAAAGATTTGACCTGCCTCATACCAACTAGTCAACCTACTAAGAACAAAGAAGTTTCACAAACATCCTAGAACTGCTGTCTATAGTTGTCAATCACCGCTTGCTCCTCCTTTCCCCCCTTCCCTTGACATAAAAGAAGGATGAATTCTGTACTTTAAGATATTTTTTTAGGACACTAGTCCGCCATCTTCTCAGCTTGCTGGCTTTCTGAATAAAGTAGCTTTCCTTGCTTCAACACCATGTCACTTGACTCACTGGCTGTTGGAACCTTGGACTTGGTTACAATATTAATTCGGTTCATTAAAGAAAAAAAAAAAAAAAACAAAGCAAAGCTTAGTGGCAACCAATACACAATTATAGAATGGTAAAAGAGAAAAAAGATAATGCTAAGTGTTGGCGGGATGGAAAGTAATCAGAACTGTCTAATGCAGGGGCCCCTAACCTCTGCACAGCAGACCGGTATTAGTTCACAGCCTGTAAGGAACTGGGCTGCACAGAAAGAAGAGAGTTGGCTGGAAGTGAGTGAAACCTCATCTGTATTTGCAGCTGCTCCCCAGTACTAGCATCACTGCCTCAGCTCCACCTCTGATTATCAGGCTTTAGCTTCTCATAGAAGCACTAGTCTCTGGTGCCAAAAAGGTTGGGGACTGCCGCTAGTCTAGTGGGAGAATAAGTCAGCATAACCACTTTGGAACACTCTATGCTTGTATCTATTAGAGTGGGGGCAGCAAGACACAGCCCACAAGTTAAATCTGGCTGTCACCTGTTTTCACATAGCCCAAAAGTTGAGGATAGTTTTAACAGAGTTGAAAGAAGACCATCTGGTTCACAAAGCCTAAAAAATTTACTATCTGACACTTTACGGAGTTTGCCAGCTCTGAAATTGGAACTAATTGTAAGTTATAATCCCTGACTCGACAATTCCACTCCTGGGTATATATCCAACAGAAACATGTATATTAAATGCTCCCCCAAACCAAGTTCTAGAATGTTCACAAAAGCACTGAAGAAGGGCCCGGACGGGATCTCTGTAGTACAGAGGCCTCACAGTGTCCTCGGCTTCACTTTTCCTTGCCCTACAGCTTAACAATAGATTTTCCCCAGTGCTCTGACCCAGAGCGGACCCAGAGGAATGTCCCCTGCCATTGAAAGTTGCCTTGAAACTTATGATTAATGCTCTTATGCTTACTGATCACAACCCTTCTGGCTACTATTCTTTCCAGACTACTCCCATCTTTGTTCCTGTGTTACTAACGCCACCAGAGGACCACGTTGCCAGAGGAAAGACTCCGTAAATCACAACAGACCCACTTCCAACCCAGAATGATCATGTAGCCCCTGGAATAATGCCCAGACTTTCCCTTAAATACCCTAAACCCGACTGAGAAGGCAAGGCAGTTTTTGAAGGTGTTAACCTGCTGCCTTCTCAGATCACCCTGACAATAAACGCTTATTCTAAATATCCCAACTCCTGTGTTGGTCTATTGGCTAAGCGGCACAGGCAGCACAAGGCCCAAACTCAGTTGCTCTCCGGTTTCAGCACTATTGATAAGAACCACAAACTGTGAATTACCCAAATGCCCACCAATAGTAGAATAAATTAAATACCAGACAGTAATTAAAATGGTGATCTACAAACATACAACATGGATGACTTTTGCAAACATAATCTTGAGCAAGAAAAGCCAGGCTCAAAAAAGAACACACTGAATGATTCCATTTATGTATAATTTAGAATCAGCAAACAAATCAATGCTGTTGGAAGTGAGGGTGAGGAGTTGAATAGCTAAACTTAAGGGACCATGAGAAGGGAAAGCTTTTGACAGGTTGATAACATTCTTTATTTTATCTGGGTGTTGGCTTCACAGATGTATTCACTTTATGCAAGTATATAGAGTAGAGCAAGTAAATGGAGAAGCAGAAAAATGTTGTCTTATCATTAACCAGGCAATAGGTATTAAGATATAAAACATTAATTGTAGTAAGTACAGTAATGAACATATAAACCTCCTTCCCCAAAAACAAAAACAAAATGAAACAAAACCTCTAAAGGGAAACCTAAGTAAAACATTATAATAATTTCCTTTGAATACTGGGATTACAATTTTTTTCCCTTCTTTATATCTTCTGATGGCTTCCAATTTTCTGCAATGAGCATGAACTTCATAAATAATTGAATCAACCAGATCTCTAAAAACAAGAAATTTAGACAATATAATAAATAAATATTTTTATATACCACAAGCTTGGTTTATCTTTTGAAACAGATGGAAGCACTTTCTCTTTTAACTCGATTTACTTCTGTACACCTTGTCTTTCCAATATGGGGAAGTAATTTGTTTACTTATGGAAGAGTATAACCTTTGAAAATTCTAGGAGCTCACAGCTATTATGGGGTTCTAACGTGCAAAAATTTGGTCACCAAAGTAAATGCCACCATTACTACACAAGAATTTATATTAAAAATGTCCATAGGAACATTGGTTGTTACCATTTTTAAAAAAAGAAGCTATGCCCCCTACCAACGACTCAAATGTCTATCAAAAATGAATAAATAAATTGTAATCTATTTGTTAAATGAAACACTTATGGCAGTTAAAAGTAAACTTATAGTTACATATATTGAGATGAAGAATCTTGACGACAGAAACATGGCGGAATGAGAGACCTCCCAGGATCTCTCCCCTTGAAATAATAAGCTCAACATCTAAAACTTAGAAAAAAACACCCAAACTGCACACCAACATGTCTGAGCAAGTGATCTGTGCATAATAGCTACCACAGGTCAGAACCCCAGGTGTCGGGTGGTGGACTGGGATGAGTAAAGAAGCTGCCTCTTGCATCCTCCGGAGCTCCCTACAGGAGGAGGGGAGAGGAGAAATGCGGCAAATTCCACGAACAGCCCTGCCTGGGAGAATTGTGAGCTCCACGCAGTGGGCGGCAGTGCCCAGGGACCAGGGCAGAAAACAGAGAACTGGGAATGGCAGAGAAACAAGAGTTGATTATTACCAGCCCCAAGTGCAGAATGCCAGGCTGAGCTGCAGCCCCCAACCTCCAGCGAAAGGAAACAAATAACAAAATCAGGGATGAAAGAGAAATTAAGGGAGACACCACAGAAATACAAAGGGTCATATAAGAATACTATGAAAAAGGATATAACGAATATAATAACCTAGAGAAAACAGACCAGTACTTAGACTGAATGGACCTTCCTAGACTGAACTTCCTAGACTGACTCAAGAAGAACTGGAACATATAAATAGACTGGTCGGCAGTATGGAAATTGAAACAATCATCAAAAACCTACCAAAAAGTAAAAGTCCAGGACCAGATGGCTTCACTGGTGAATTTTACCAAACATTCAGAGATTTAATATCTATTGTCCTCAAACTCTTCTAAAAAATAGAAGAGGAGGCACTATTTCCTTACTCATTTTATGAGGCGAATATTACCTGAACACCAAAACCTGGTAAAGATAACACAAAAAAAGAAAACTACAGACCAGTATCTCTCATGAACACAGACGCGAAAATCCTAAACATGATAATAGCGATCTAAATACAGCAACATATTAAAAAGATTATACACCATGATCAAGTGGGCTTCATCCCAGCGGCATAGGGATGGTTCAACACACGCAAATCGATTAATGTGATACACCACATAAACAAATTAAAAAATAAGAATCATGATCATATCAATAGATGCAGAAAAAGCCTTTGAAAGTTACAGCATCCATTTATGATCAAAACACTTAACAAAATCAGTATAGAAGGAAAATACCTTAACATAATAAAGGCCATACATGATGAACCCTCAGCCAACATTATACTTAATGGTAAAAAACTAAAAATCTTTCCTCTATGATCAGGAGCAAGACAAGGCTGTCCACTATTGCCACTGACATTCAGTATAACATTGGATGTCCTAGAGAGTGCAATCAGACAAGAGAAAGATATAAAAGACATCCAAATAGGAAATGCAGAAGTCAAACCGCATTTCTTTGTGGATGACATGATTCTCTATATAGAAAACCCTAAAGACTCCACAGGAACACTCCTAAAAACAATAAAGAAATACAGTAAAGTTTCTCAATATAAAATCAATGTTCAATAATCCATAGTGTTCCTATACTCTAATAATGAAGTGTCAGAAAAAGAAGTGAAAAAAATAATTCCTTTAGCAATTGCAACAAAAAGAATAAAATACCTAGGAATAAATCTAATGAATCATGTGAAGGACCTATATATTGAAAACTATAAAACCCTATTAAGAAATCGAAGAAGATACAAAGAAATGGAAAGATATTCCATTTTCTTGGATTGGAAGAATCAAACATCATTAAAATAATCTTATTACCTAAAGCATTATACAGATTTAATGCAAACTCATCAAAAGCTCATCAGCATTTTTTTAAAGAAATAGAACAAAAAATCATCAGATTTGTATGGAAGCACAAAATACCCCGAATTGCCAAAGCCATCTTGTGAAAAAAGAACGAGGCTATAGGCATCACTGTGCCCAATTTCAAAATATACCACAAAGTGACTCTAATGAAAAGTGCATGGTATTGGCAGCAAAACAGACACACGGACCAGTGGAACAGAATCGGGAGTCCAGAAGTAAACCTATGTTTAAATGGATGAGTAATTTTTGACAAAAAAGCGAAAAACATTCAATTCAAGAAAAGAAAGCCTCTTCAATAAATGGTGCTGGAAAGACTGGAAAGCCACCTGCAAAAGAATGAAACTAGATTTAAAATGCATTAACTCAAAATGGATTAAGGACCTGAATATAAGACATAGTAAAATGCATAGAAGAAAACATAGGAACGAAACTCAAGGACCTTGGACTTAAAGAGGATTTTAATAAATTTGACCTCAAAAGCAAGGGAAGTAAAAAGTAAAATAAATGAATAGGATTACATCAAACTAAAGAGCTTTTGCTCAGCAAAAAAAATCGTTAACAAGGTAAAGAGACAACAATCTGAATGGGAAAATATATTTGCAAGCAATGCCTCTGATAAGGGCCTAATATCCAAAATATACAAAGAAGTCATACAACTGAATAACAATGGAAAAACAAACGATCCACAAATGGGCAGAAGACTTGAACAGACACTTCTCCTAAGAAGACATATACTAATGGCCAATGAACATATGAAAAGATGCTCAATATTGCTAGCTATTAGGGAACTGCGAATCAAAACCGCAACGAGATACCATCTCACACCTGTTAGAATACCTGTAATAACAAATGTTGGAGAGGATGCAGAGAAAAAGAAACTCTTTAACACTGCTGGTGGGACTGCAAATTGGTACAGCCACTATGGACAACAGTATGGAGGTTCCTTAAAAAACTAAGAATTGATTTACCATATGATCCAGCAATCCCTTTATTGGGTATTCACCCTAAAGACTTGAAAACCCATTTCTGAAAATATATTTTCACACCAATGCTCATAGCAGCATTATTCACGGTAGCCAGGACACAGAAGCAACTTAAGTGTTCAAACATAGATGACTGGCTAAAGAAGCTGTGGTACATACATACAATGGAATATTATTCAGCCATAAGAAGAGATGAAATACCATTTGCAACAACATGGATGGACCTTGAGATAATCATGCTAAGTGAAATAAGCCAAACAGAAAAAGTTGAAAATCACATGATATCACTTCTATGTGGGATATAAATCTAAAAGAAACAAATGAATAGGACAAACAAACAAAGACACATGGTCATGGACAACAGATTAATGGTTACCACAGGGTAGGAGGGAGGGGTGAGGGAGGCGGTAGATGGGGTAAAGTGGGTCAAATATGTGGTGACTTTAAAAAATTTTAAAAAATTAAAAAAAAAAAGATGAAGAATGTTTAAAACACAATGTTTAGTATAAAAGACAAGGAAAAGACAAGGTGCAGAGTAAGTACAGTGTGTAAGATTTAAAAACATGCAGAACAATACTGATATTGTTTATGGATACTCATGTAGATAGTAAAAGTATGAAAATATGCATGGGAAAGAAACACTGAATTCAGCAGAGTGGTTACCTATCAGGATGTTAAGGAAAGAAATGGAAAAAATAAAGGTACTGTAAATAAATTGTAAATAAAATTCACTTAGATAGAAATTAGAACCAAAGATCCACAACTATAAGTAATATGGATCACTGTCAGAAATATAATGTTAAGTGAGAAAAGCTATATAGAAAAGAATACATAATGGATCTTGGCATTTCTACAAAGTACAAAAACATACAAAACTAATCAACTATTATCTGTAATATTTGGTTATTTTTTTAAAAACGAGATGTATTGAAACTCATCAAATAGTACACTTAAGATTTGTGCACTGAATTGTTTATAAATTTAACAATCTCCCTTAGCTACCTCCCCCCAAAATATAAGCAAATACTGATCTCTACTAATGACATACAAAAAGGAAAAAAAAAACTAACACAAAAATGAAGTACCAATTTCTATAAAATATAGAGGACAGAAAAAATGTTAAATTAGACCATGGAGATGTTATCAGCAAAACTCATATTGTGGGAAATTCTACAAGACAAAACTTATCTCCTAAACAATAAAAGGAAAAGAAAAAAAAAAAAAGATGAAAAAGGAGACCTTCAGATTAAAACAGACCAAAAAGAGTTACTACCGTGAATGAACCTTCCTTACATCCTGTAAAGAAACAAACAAAACCCAAAAAACTAAAAAGCTGCTGAGGGACAAAAGGTATGACACAAACTATGAGCTAAACACAAATGTGAATATAGATGACACCCAGTAATTAAAGAATTATAAAGTAGTTAATATTAAGAATGACTGATGATGACTTTTTAGGTGTGATAATGGTATTATGGTAATGTTAAAAAAGAGATAGTGCTTAGTGTTTGATTCTTTACATTTGTACGTGCTTAAAATATTTTAATAAAAAATGCAACACAATATAATCATAGAAGGATATTTAGGAGACAACAGGAATCATCGCTCATACCTCACAAGGATTAGCAAAGATCAAGTGGGATGTATGAAAGTATTCTATAAGATGAAAAGTGCTTTTGGAATGCAAGTTTTAATAATATAATTTCCAATCTGAGCATGAAATAAGAGTTGCAAAAAACCTAATGTCTGTCAAAAACAAAGAGGCTTAGATAAACTCTCAGAGATGAAAACACGTCTCCTACATATACACATGAGAACAGGTAGTTCAAATAGTTTCAGAATAGTTACTGTCTTTACTATCTATCTAGATAAGGCAAAGCAGTATACTTTACTAACATCAGACATGTCTAAACTCTTTTATCATACCAACGACAGCAGGATATTCCATATATCAGAGAAAAAATCCTATTACTGTGCATCAATCTCAAATCAGATTTTTCCCCAAATACTTCTAACAAATAAATGAACTATGAGGTCCCAGATGAGGCATAAAAAACCACCCAAACAACCCTTGTGAAACAGTGACTTGAGGCAAACAGGGTAGAGCTAAACTTATTAACCAAAGAGAGGCACAAAGATATGGTCAAAACAAGCAAAACCTATCACAAATCTCATGGAGAAAAAAAAAATCCCTCGTTTTTAATCTTAACAGAGCCTTGGTTCAGTGACTGGCAACATCACCAGCACTCGGTTAGAAAAGATCATACTGACGAGACTCCCCAGGCTAACGTTACACATTGGGACTAGTACCTTGATCACCATAATCATTTAACTTCCATGAACATAACTTAATGCCCAATGATGTCATACATACCTTGTAATTCTGGTGAGATTCAAAGTTGGAAAGTGGAGTGTTACAGGCAGTGGAGAAGGGCATGACTTTCATACCTCTATAAATAAGGCCTTTATCATAAAGTTGTTTGAAGACCCACCTAGCAAATAAAGAGACGAAGTTTTACAATAATTAAATAATCAAAATTCTGTTCCCCCAAATGCAAACATTTATGCTGGTTTCCGTTCATAGAGTTTGTGTCAATCAAAGATGTAAAAACACAATGTCTCTCAACCAAAGACTAGCTGGTAAATTACAATAGATCAGTATAATTAGATATTATAAAGACATGAGTCTAATATTTGTTGACATGGAAAGATGGTCATGATTTAATGTGACTGAGAAGTTAACTGACACCATATTGTATATAATATCAATTACTGTATAATTATATAAAACTGTACATTATCAGTATACATAGTTACATTTTTCAGGAATGCTGAAAAAACAGATTTTCACTAATATTTCAACTATGGCTGAAATTTCAATTTTTGTTTTTCTTAATAGTTTCTTGATATATTGCTTAAATTTCATGATAATGGGTAGTTTTACAATGCCAAATTTAAAAAAGTATAAACCATTGGGATTAGGATCAGATCTCTCTCCTACAACTGGCCAAAAACTTTATTAAGTACTTAACATGTTGCTTTAAGCTAAATGTACCAAGACACTGCAAATGTCAACAGGTTCTCCTGTGGTGACCACTCACCTCTCTCAATTGGATGCCAGAATGCACTGGTGAGAACCCTTACATAATTCATTTAGAAATTCACACAGGAGTAAAACTTTACTCCTACGTCCCTGTCACAATAAATGAATTAAACCCTCTCTCATTTGCTAAAATACATTTATATTTATCCCAAACCACAGAATATACAAGAGTGAACCCTAAAGTAAACTACGGACTTTGGGTGATTATGATATGTCAGTGAAGGTTCAATTGTAACAAATGTACCACTCCAGTGGGGGGTGCTGACAATGGGGAAGGCACATGTGGGGGCACAGGGTATATGGGAAATTTCTGTACCTTCCTCTCGATTTTGCTGTGAACCTAAAAATGCTCTAAAATATAGTCTTTAAGTCTTAAAACAAAATAAATCTATCCCCAAAGATTTCAGATAATTGTGAACCTAAACACAAATTGATCCATGCTACAGCACCTCTCCACTAATATAACAGAATATTCATTATATGTACAATTTCAAATAAACCTACCAGACAGATTCCATGAATTGAGGATACAGAGTTTTGTAGTCATTGTCGAAGTCAATCCATCGGCCAAGTCTGGTAATAGTAGACTTAAAAATATAAATATTAGAGTTATTAGAGAATGATATTTGTTATTGTACATCAATGTGTTTTATTTCTATTATCACCACGTATGATTTTGAGAAAACAGAATCAATGGTTCAAGAAAATCTATATTACAATCAACACACTATATAAGGTTAAAAACCAGTTTTTTTCCGGCATTCATTCTATAATGCAGATAATGATATTTACAAGTATTAATATATTTTTATGAAAGTCTATCAAAGCTACTCTCTGGTAAACATCACAGATATAACTGCTCCTGGCTTGAATTATTAATGGATGCTAAAATTACTGAGTTAAAGTATAAAGGAAACAGATATTTGCACGGACTGTCCCTATAAGACACTTATTAATTACAAAGGAAAAACTCCAACTTTACAGAGGAGTTGAAGAAACCTGACCTGGTCACCTTAGTAAACAAAGTGAACATCATCAATGAGCCATATCGGTATCACAGGCCTCCAGATATGATAGACTGAGAGGTGCATGATGTTACTTCTGAGGTATTCTTTCCAAAAAACGCAAAACCTAAACTGAATCATGAGGAAACATCAGATATTGAGGGATAATCTACAAAGTAACTGGTTTGTACTCTTTAAAAGTGACAAGATCATAAATGACAAAGAAAGATTGAGGGAATGTTCCAGATTAAAGGAGACTAAGGAGGTATGACAACTAAACTCACTATGTGCTTCTAAACTGGATCTTGGATCAAAAATAAAAATTAGTGAGACAAATGGTTAAATTTGAATAGGGTCTAAAGTATTGTATCAATTTAAATTCTTGTTTTTGATAATTACACTATGATTATTGAAGGTGTTAGCTAGGAAGTGAGTGAAGAGTATAGGGGAACTCTTCATGTTACTTTTGTAATTTTTAATAAGTCTAGATTATTTCAAAATGAAAAGTTTAAAAAATAAAAAAAAAATTTAAGGGAAAAAAAAAAGACCCATATACTTATTATAAGCATCATCAGGATTTTCCCCTACTAGTGACCAGGCAAGAAAGTTATATTAAGAGAAAATTGAGAAGCTTTGATCTTCAGGTTGATGAAATAAAGTTTTATTCACCAATGAAGAGAAGCTACTTAACGTCTGAGCAGGAAAGAGCAAGATGAACAGTCCTGGAGAGATAACTTGGCAGGCTCAGGTTGAGTTTAAAGAATATAAACAAGAGATCAATTAGGAGATTGTTACAGAAATGGAGCTAATGGTGGGTGAAGCTAAGGAAAGGTATAGGAATGAAAATAAATGACTAGATAAGAGACAGTAAGGAAAAAGACTTGATAGGATCTAGCATTTGATTTAATCATGAGGATTAATGTTTGAAGCCTAGAAGACTGAAACCATTGGCAGGATAGGGGATTCTAAAGAACAGTAAGTGATAAGATGGAGAAGATAAAAAAAATAAAATAAAAGCCAGACATATTTTTAAGTTGTACAGACAGATTAATCTAAGAGCCAGGGAGGAAACTGGGAGTTGAGGAACTTTGTTCCTAAGACCATAAGAACAAGAGAGCCCTGATAGCACCTGATAGTTACTTAACGGTACTAGCTGTGGGAGCTCTACCACTAAGAGTGGGCAAGATAGGAGTTAAATTAATATAACAATGGGTTTAAATTTTAATGGATTTTAACATCTGAATTTTTATATTACAACATTCAAGTTAATCTATTTGCTAGGATGGCCTGATCCCTGTTATATACTGTAGGTAGGTAGGAGATTAAATATAGAAGACTAATCAAGCACGAAGAAATAAGAAAAGAGAGGCTTCGGTTTAAGCTATAGTCTAGGTAATAGGATTGGAGGTGGAAGCTAAACACTCCTTTAAACAGGATGGTCGACCCCTCTTATGTCACAACCTCACATGGACAGACATACTTTTGGGAGCATCATAAAAAACACAAAGGACCATAAATCATTTCAACTTCCATTTAAATCAGAAGTTTTGTTCATTCTACTGAAAATAACCCAACATACCTTCCACTCAGTAGAATATCTCATCACGATTGCTCGGCATTGATTGTTATACTCCACAATCCCCATTTTGGTTACATCCTCTGGTCCTCTGATTCCTAGTGTCTTATCAATTTCATATTCCTGAAAATGTAGGATAAGATTGTTAACAACCCTACCCTACAAAACAAAATCGATTTAGCAACTCTAGAAAAATAAGATTTAAAAAAATTAGTTCTCAGAAAATCTACAGAGAAAATGAACTGTAGAATTATGGAAATGAAGTAGAAGAAAAAGTCTGTTGTAGTAATAATTCACCATATGTTAATATATTACTTGAAATGCTTACTAAATCTAATGCTTACTAAAAAATCAAAATATTATAAAGGCTGGTGACTCAAACATACCACTGGTAAGCCATGACAATCCCATCCAAATCTTCTGTCGACGTGAAACCCACTCTGGTGAGCGTATCTCGTAACTATATCTTTAATTGTCCCTGCAAGTATATGTCCATAGTGAGGCAGTCCAGTTGCAAAAGGAGGTCCATCATAGAAAGTAAATCTATAAGAGATAATAAAAATATGTTAAGTTACTTTAAAACAGATAGCAAAAATTCAGGACAACATTTTTCTATAGATGGCTCCTGTCACAGTGGAGTCTTCAGGGAGAAGAAAAGCAGTGAGACGAGGAAATTCAGATATAACTGATTAGGTTTTTACTGTAGGTCCTGGCTTCCAAAAAAGGTCGTTATGGTGGAGCTGGAGAGGCCTCCAGTGGGCCATCCATTCTTCATTTATTAGTTCCACAACATAATCCAAGTTATTCATCCTGATGCTGAATGATATTATTCATTAGTAAAATAGGGCAATAAATGACTATCTCATAGTTTTTGAGCATGTGAGAACCATGATAAAAAAAGAACTCATTCATTCAATGCATATCTATGACTGAGAGTACCCACTATATAGAGAGCTAAGAGACTCTGGGAAAATACGAAGATGAATAAAAAGTTCCCTTCTTAATGAAATGCAGTGAAAGAAATGACTTCTTAAGGACTCTACCCTTATGAAAGAAATTCACATACATACTTTGGCCTATGTTTTGATTGCTTTAAGCATTCTTGAAAACAATTAAATTCGGACCAGAACTGCAAGATTTTCTCTTCTTCAGC